TTTTTTTTTGTAAGGTATATTTCTGTTATTGCTTTGAGCATTATTTTTTTTTTGTTGGGATTGAAATTCTATCAAATTTTGAATGAAATTTGGAAATGATTCCAGAATTGATTGTATTCTAACCCGAAAATTGTTGTATTCAACTAATTGGATAATGAAATTCGTTTTACAAAGCAATTATTTGTTTATAGCAGATGTTGTAATGATAGATTGTTTTTGTAATGTATTAATTTTTTCTTTTTTTGCAAAAAATGACATATATAGCAGAAAATTTAAACAATGTGCTCATTGTAGGACAGTTCATTTAGACCAAATTTTTTGATCTCAACCGAAATATTAATTCAATTATTTTAATGGCATTATTCAGTTACCTCTTTATTGCAAGCAGTAAACTTTATGCGGCAATTAGAACGTTTTTGTTTTTTTTTTCCCTTGCATTCATCCTACGCGTAAGATGACGTGAAACGCTGAAATATTTAATATTTTATGGTTCTATTTTTTGTAAAATTCAATAATTTATTTTAGGTCCTTTCATCATCTGATTGTATCTGTAACCGAACTCCTCTCTTCATGTATCGCTATGATGACGACATACGTGGTGAGCTAATTAAGCCTTAAAATAATTTCATAAAGTTTTCCATAAATTTTCATTTGAATTTTTTTGCATAGCTTTAAGATGGATTTTAAATATAAAAATATAAGTTAAGATTCAAATATAAGTTTCAGATCGTTTCTTTTACCTCTTTTTTTTCGTTCATTCTGATAAAAATATCAGTCGTAAGATTTTATGACATTATTAGATTAATTAATATTATGTAAAGTCAGTCAAACATTGCTATTTTGAGATATTGTTTTTTTTTGTCCAATTTTTTTTTTTTTAACTTTTCAGATTTGACTTACAATTATTCTTTTTTTCTTATTTTTCTTTTTTCTTCCTTCTAATAGGTGTTCCATCTTATGGATACGGTACGAAATATACTGGCATGAATTCAATTTGGACATCACAAGATACAAAACATGCCGTTCTATTTTCACTGGTACCGGGCGCTTTATCAGCATTTGCTGCTGCATCATTTAGGAAGGAAAAAAATTTGATCGAATTATGGAGTGTGAGTTTTTTCAAATTGTTATATTTTTGCTTCCTATTTTATTATTTTTCTGCATTGTTCATTCTTTTTTCTTCCTATAATATTGGGGGAAAAAAATTTTTTTTTTCTTTGTTCAAATATAAAAGCGAAAAATTAAAATAGACAAGCAATAATTGATTTATATTTTTACAGGCCTCAAATAAACCGAATTGGGCGCCAAAAAATCCAGCGATTTATGGAGTAATCGATGTTATGGCAATTGCACCTGTTGGCTGGGCTTCATATATGGCATATAAGTATGGGGGAGGTTGTTTTTTTTTTGCTTTTTTTTCCGCTCTTTTCCATCAAAATATTATATTAAGAATTGTATTCATATATAAAGACTTACTGACAGAAGTCTATTAAATAATACTTTTTTTAATACATATTTATTGATGGCTATTACAAGCCAATTAATTAAGTGCTTGTAAAAAAAATTCTTTCTTATAAAACAATCTGTGACTTTCTTCAACACTTAATTAAATAACAATGATTGATTCCTTGGCTTATTTTTATTATAAAAGTCGTGCTGTTGATTGAACAATTTGCACACTGACAAGTATATATGTATGCTTATATGTATAAGCATAATAAAAAAAGATAATCAGAAATAAAACAAAATAAAATTTTGATTTGTTTAAAATCTGATTCTTTTCCTTGAATTTTGAAGGTCTTGCGCATAATAATGCAAAGTTGGCATTGGCGTTATACGGTGGTAGTATGATTTGTGCATTTCTTACAATGCCATTGGTAAAACAAAAAAATTACTGTTGTGTAAGTTTTGAATGTCTTATCAATGTATTTTATCAAGTAATGAGTACGAATTACAACTTACGTTGTGAAAAAAATATTCCGTTTTATTTGCTATAAACTGTTATTTGTTGTTACGATTTAATATTCTTTACTTTCTTTGAATGGTATTTAATTCTAAATATATTTTTAATTCTTTGTTAAAATTTTAACAACTTAACAATTTCAGTTATTCCGTAACACGCTTATAATGCATTTGACTGGAGTTGGAGCAGCACTTGCATTCTTTAAGGTATATTTTACATCATTTTATTGTATCTCCAAGATAAACAAAATTGAACCAAAAAAAAATATCTTATGAAATTTTAGGTTAGCATAATAAGTTATAGAATTACAAGATAATATAGGTATGTACATTTTGTGTAACTCATCAGATATTAAAATTTTGCGAATTACTCAGAAGTTATATATGATTAAAAAATAAGAAATAAACTATTTTAATGCTACACCGATTCTGTGAGGTGTACTTTTCCTGATAAATGAAATAGTTTCCTCAGTTATTTGCTCAATTTTAATATTCCATCAAAAGTTCAATTTTTTTATTGCTAAAAAATGCATAACGCAAGAAAAAACTTCTCATTTTCTCTTTTTTGAATTATTCAAGATTGCAAAAAATATTTTGCAGATCGATCATAAAGCTGGCTTATTATTAGTGCCGTACGTTTTGTGGACAGGCTTCTATACATACCTCACGTACACTCTGAGTAAAACGAACACATCCGAAGCAGCTAAACATTCAACCAATTGAATTTTCTAATCCAATTTTTTTTTTTGCCTTCCCTTCTTTTTCAACCTTCTTCAACCTTTTTTCTTAATATGCAAATACTGTGTTAAATGTAACTTCTTTATTCGGCGCCACAAATTTTTTTGAAGTTTCTGAAGATTTTTTTCTATTGCTTTTTTCAAAGCACATTTTAATGTAATTTGTTCTAGTTTTTAAAGCTTTTGAAATTTTTTTACAAACTTTTTATGGGAAAAATATCTTTGCACCGATTGTATATTTCAGGATCATTTTTCCTCACCTCATATTTTGGATCACTGAAAGAGTTTATTTTATCTTGTACATTAATCATCATTGTCTTAACGATTCATTTATTATAAAATAAATTAGTTCACCCTACTTTCTTTTGTAATGATTCATTTGATTTCAAATTTTCGTGATAAATTTTTCAGCAAATTTTATCATTGTTTTAAAAATTATTTTTTGAATTTTTCAGCTGCGATGGTGTTTTTTATGTAAATTGATTTTTTCTATCTCATTTTTATTTTGTAATTTTTTATATATGGAATAAAGTTTCTTTAATGTTGGTATCTCTCAGTGAAAATAATAAAATCACGAATGTAAAATAATCATCAATGAATACTTGTGATTGATTAACCATGATTCTTCTGTTTATAATTAATCTCGATTGATCATAATTAAATAAATACACATCTGTTGAATACGTGAGGAAAATTTGAATTCGGAACATTTTCTCGGCTCGAATTTCGTTTACCGTTACATTCATTCTTCTGAAGCTAACTCTCGATATTTAAATTTAGTTACTGAAAGACGCGTAAAGATTTGTTCAAGTTTTGATTCCTTTCCCTGCTCGAAATTTCTTATCTTTGATGACATACAAAAAAAATATAATATTATGATTGCTTCTTCGATTTGAAAATGAATAATTCAACGGTTTCCATTCTTCTAAAAAGTAAGTAAATAAAGCAAATCTACCTAAAAATGTAAATAAAACAAATCTAAATTGCAACACTCATGAATATGCATGTACTGCATGCATGCACTTATATGATCAAATTTTTTAATTAATTATGCATGTTAGCGAGTAATTTATCGTTTTGAAAATGTATAAAGCAATGTGTAAATTTTTCTTATAGAATTTTTATTTTGCATTTTACAGTTTTTAATAAATAATTTCCATTTGGTACTTTCCATATTGTATTTTGTAGTTTCATTTTATGCATACCTGCACCATGTAACATTGTTTTTGCTATCAACAAGTAGAAAAAATGGGTAGTTGATAACGCAGAAATAACAATTCGAAAAGTTTAAAGAAGTTAAATATAAGTTAATCAAAGTTTTGTGCAACTTTATAAAAGAAATGTATATTTTATTTTGAAAAAAATGCATAGCTTTTATATTATTTAAAAAGATGTTTGAATTTTAAATTCGTTCTTTTATCTCTTAAAAGGGTTGTTAAAATCAAATTTTAAATGAAAAAAATTATT